ACAGAAATTTCATCAGCTACTGTTGGTATTATAAAGTGCTCTCGATTTACAACTAGATTAAGAAATTTTGGGTCCAGACAGAGGCGTAAATCTTTATTTTTTTTCTCAGCAATTACTTGTGTATTCAGCCATTCAGTAGGTCTATTAACTTTTCAAATTATTCCTTGGCTTTCTAATTGCTCTAACTTAATTTTAAAGTTAGAACTATCATATGCTACCAGTGTTACCTACTCAAGTTGCATTTATTTTGTTTTCAAGATCAAAACCTTTCACTGGTAAAACACTCACCTAAGCGCCTGTATCAAGCTTAAATTCAATTGACTTTTTACAAACACTTCTTGGGACCACATTGCACTATTGTGAGTGCTGACAGATCCAATTTTTTTTATTTCATTCACATAGAACTCCTCCCTTGCGTCGCTCAAATTACTGTATTCTAACATTTTACCTACTTCCCCTTCATGGACTTTTTTGTCTTTGCACTTTTTATGTCAACTCTTCTTGTCACGATATGAATCTAATTTATTTTCTTCCTCCTTTCTGCAAACTCCTGCAAAATGAATTTTGCCCTGACATCTGGCACATGTCTTGCCATAGGCAGGGCATTCACCAAAACCTTTATGTTTATAACCACAATACTTGCAAGTTGTTCCACCAGCTTGTTGGAAATTCCTTAAAGCATGAACCTGACTATCATTTTGTAAGATTTTTGACTGGGATTTACTAGCTTCTGTGGCACTGCAAAAGTCAACAGCTTTATCTAGAGTTAACTTAGGTTCTCTTAACAACCGTTCTTGTGTCGTTTTATCCAGAATTCCCATGACTATTCGGTCACGTATCATTTCATCCTGATCTTCATACTGAGCGGTTCTTATGGCCTTCTGCAACTCGGTTAGAAAATTGTCAAACGATTGACATTCTTTTTGACAAATGCTGTTGAACTTATATCTTTCAAATGCGACATTGGTTTTAGGTGAACAGTAATCTGTTGTATTACCTTCTCTAGCTTCTATTCATCACCATTTAACCAAATGAAACTATTGAATAGTTCTAGGGCCGATACTTTTGCTCTCGATAAACGAATTTGATACGTCGTCAAAGTTTTGCATGGGCCAAGGTCTATAAGTATGATGTGGTTAGAGCACATCAAACCCCTGATTATTTTTAACGGCTGTCAAATGAAAGCAAAAGTACCGGTACCGGCACCCCAATCAAGTTTAGAAATACTACTCTAAAACTGTAGCTTTTAGGAAAACAGTAGATTTCTGGTGAGATCTTCTCCAATTTTCAGCAATATTGCCATCTAGCACAAGTAGTTCGGGCTGTTCAAACAAGCCTTCCATTTTAGAGAATTCAAGCTTGAAGTTTTCAAGATCTAGCAATAATTACTTACAGGACTTCTCGATAAAAATAAGAGGTTTTCTCCGTTTATACCAGCGGAAGATACTTTAACCCGCTTTTAACTTGACACAATGTACTAATTGGAATGAAACTCTAGAACTGATGCAGTATGAATCTATTCATAGAATAAATCTATTCAAGAACTAACTAAAAAACAACTGATTATTATTATCTATTATTGCCAAGCCGACTGTCACTGCTATTAGCTTGTGTGTACTTGACAAGGCCGACAGTTAACATTTAGATAACAACTACATAATAACATATAAGCCTATACACACTTATTTCTTCGACAAACCCATACAAAAACTGAGTACAATATGCCCCGCCCTTCACCTGGCTTTAGAAGTTTTTGTGGGTTATTTTCCAACTCCTAAATAAGGAAAGAATTATGATATTGAGACCTTCTAAGGCAACAATACAAATAAGTATACCCAAAGGCCTAACAGATAAGATTAAAATGGAAAAAAAGTCAGACAGGGCGACACGATATCTCATAAAAAAAATGGATTGGATGAGCCATCTTAGATGTTGGGAAAATTAGGAATGACTCTCAAAAATCGGAACATATCAATAAATCTGTAGAGGAAGGCTTTCAATAGCTGCATATATTAACAATCAAATCAGTCCACTGCCTTAGATCAACAGAAACAATGCTGGGAGTTTTCTTATTAAGACAACGCTTACGAAACGAATATATTATAAAAGCCAAGACAAGCGTGAAAGAAAAGATGTAATCGAGAAAATCGCAGAACTTAAATGGAGGTGGAAGAGACATGTTGCCCGACAAGAAGATGACAGATAGCTGTCCAAACATTGGAAACGTAGACCACTGAAACGTTGGCTGAATGACATCAAAGACATAGGTAGTATAGTTGATTTACCATTATTACTAGGTCGCCACAAGTTGTGCGCAGTTGGTAGGATTTCAACAATCGTTTGGCTCAAAAAATAGATTTAGCATTTTTTATTCTGTAAACTTTGGTGAAGCACCCCACTGGCAAAATGTATTACTTAGTTGTAGCAAGTGATTTTGTTGTTATCTCAATTCATATATGTATTTCATTTTATCTTATTTCCTGAAAAAAGAAATTGGTTCAAACAAAACCGCAACGTATTATTTATATTCCTAAATAGTCTTATTGTATATGACCCTGATAATATATGTTCACTGGTTTTAACAAGCAGACGATCTGCTGAATGATTTAATAACTCTTTTTATACTGGTAGCAGCCGTCATCGGCTTCAACAAACGGAGAACAACAACTACTAACCTTACTGATAGGTTACATCCGGCCTGGGTGGCAGATAAAACTATACAATAAATTTATTGCATCTGGCTGGGATGTTGCTATCTTGCAATTGAAATTCCATAGGAAATTAACTAGGATTTTTTATGATTAGTAGAAGAAAAATTAATTGCTTCATACGTGTATGGCATTTAAAGTTTTTCTCCAGTTTTCTTGTCTCCTTCCTCGATTATCCGATATGGCTTTTCCGATAGATTATAATTTTTTTGCAATTATTTCTTGTTCAATTCATATGGCCACTGGAATAAAATTGCGAATGCAATTATCCTGATAGAATAATGAAAATACTGGTTCAATTTAGATGTCAGTATAAATCACAAGTTATTCTTGGTAGAGGCCAATCACCCAATTTAAGGCCTCATAACTTTATTGTGTCATTCATCTATATTTGTTTATAAATAACTTTAATAAAGACATTATTGTTGTTAATGTCATGATAAGAAATAGAAATTAATCTTGCAAACAGGATGCTTTTTTTATTGAAGTCGGAAAGCGGCTTATTTTAATGTAATCAAATTGGAAGAAATTTCTATTTCTACTTTCCTGTCATACACTTTAAAATAACGGGAAAGTAGTGTGATTGTGCAAAATGGCAAAAAGTAGACATAACTGTATGTGGGTTGTGTGTGGTCAATATTTTGGTCCAAGACTTCAAGAAATTTTCCTAGCGGCCAACGAGTTTACTTTCGTGACGTGAGATGTAATAGTAGAAAACCAAGTCAGTAAATGAAACCACCTGAAGCATTTATTTCTTCACTAATTTACACCAGATCCCCGAAAATTAATTAAACAAAATCGATTCATCTTCGAGTTCAAAAAGATTGCCGACAATAGCGTTTCATTTAGCATCTTTGAGCAGCTGCTACCTCTGTATATATAAAATCCTTTAGCGAAAATGCCGACGCTATTTTTAATTCTCTCAGATGGTATCAGCGTCTGGAGAACTCTGGAGCCTGAATGCCTGACGTTCTTCAGATACTGGGAATAAATATCTGACATTTAGCAAGATTACGAATAAGTAGCAGGAATTTCAGGAAACGTAACGAACAAAATGTGTTCAGTAAATATAGAATTACTAATTCAAATTCTTGCAGTTTTCTCTAAAATCAAGTATGTAGTTTAACGCATTATTAATAAATCATCTAAAGCATTTCTAAATTAATTAATAGGTTGTAATTTAATACATGTATGTAATCCCGTGGTTTATCTAACAAACTGGACATTGATTGAGCGATAAATTGTTGGGATGAAAGTGCATAAAATAGTTTATATAATTTAGAGAAATTAGATATCGGCTATGTAAATTACGACTTGTTTGACATTAGAAAGAGCATAAAATAAGATGAAACCCCTGATCAGAGTCTGAGAGACAAAATAAAAAGCACTATGCAAATTGACATTAAAAAATATCTTGTAATTTGAAAAACACTATTTAAAACCAAAGCCAAAATGTTTGAAAAGAATGAGTGTGAGGAATCCATTTCAATTGATAAATTTCTGTGTTGACGCAGCATATATTAATACTAATGCATCTTACTTAATATGTTATTATTGTACGACATAACGGTACCCTTATTTGAATTGCACCTATATAGAATATAATATGCATTAAAAATACGGAAGCTGTAGAAAAATACATCTCCGTTTTAATTATTCAAATATTTACTTTAATTAATTATGTAACGTTCTGACCTATTTTTACCCATTCAATTTTCCCATTTACTTCATGTTAATTACTAATTGGATACGTTACAATCGTAAATGTAACCTCTATAAACAAAAAAATATTGAAAATAATTGCGTGTAAATTGAATTTATCGAAGGTTATTCAAAAGTAAGTGTATTAAAATAATGTTGTCATTTGACTGCTTTGTACAAATTGTCGGTTATGGTTGACGGGCGAACTTTATATAGTTTCCAGGCGAACTATGAAAGGACAAAACAATCTGGTGCACAGTAATGAAATACTGGAATGGACCCCGCCCTAAATTCAAAACTAAGCCAATAACTACTAAACGTTCGAGGAATAATTCAACAAATTCAATTTACACCTAAAAACATTTTAAACTGAAAATGGCATATTATTTTTATGTAACGCCTGTAACTCTGCGAAATGCATTCATTATTCATTATGGCTGTTGCCGGATTTGTGTCGCATATAAAGTTCTTTTGTCTCCTCTCCTCCACTTCTTTTAAGATAACAGTTATAGGTATATTGAATTTCAAGAAGTAGGTGTTAATTTCTTTAGTTTTTTTTTACATTGCCATTGAAAATTAAAGAATACTTACAGGTAGGTATGTCAATTAGTAGCTTGTGGTTCATCGGGACTTTAATTAGAGAGGTGGGCTATCTGGAACAAAAAGATATAATAAGTAAATAATTATTGAAGTTTTTCGAATTGAGATTAAATATAAATCAATTTTTGAGTCACTTTTTGTAAAAAGAGATTACAATTAAAAAATTTACAGTCAAGTGAGCTTTACTCGGATGGCATAGCAATTTCATGAATTTCTATCACATATTTGATATACTGGGTGTTTCCTAATTGAATCTCAAGATTTAAAGGTCCATTTCAAGAAGAAAACTTTATATGAACATATTCCCTAAAGGTCTTAACTTTTGAGGTAGAGGTAAAAACGCCACTGATGGAAATTTGAAAAAATGTTGTACAATAAAAAATGCCTCTTGATACATAGTACATGTATGCCAAATTTCATTAAAATATCTAAAGTGGTGTTACAGATATTAATAATAAATGATTTATTTTTAAAAACTTCATCACCCTGTATCTCAAAAGTTAAGACGTTAAGGACATACATTCAAAAGAAGATTTCTTCGAGGATTTCTTCTCCAAATGGATCCAAAAATCACTCCCTAACATATTGACATTCAATTAGTTAATACCCTGTATGTAGGTATTCATTTTCAGAAAAATTGATAATGTCTTTTACAGGCAGCTGCCTTGTTACCAGCCTAGCGTCGCTCATCACTGAAAATTTAAAAATATATGGCGAATGTCAGAATAAAACACTTCAGAAAGGTATTGATGAGAAATATTTGATGAAAATCATTTTTTTTTGTCATTGCACTGCTTGCTGTTTCTTTATTTATATCATTGATTGTTCTGTAATCTTTCAGTATTTTTTTTACTCTAGACAAGTTTCTTTTAACAACTTTATTGGCTGTTCATATTTGTTTATGTGCTCAAGTTAATCCTTATAGTTTTTTTTTTTTAAATTTTCACTTTTGTCTGGTACCTCTCTAATCCTGCATTTTTCTGTCAGTAAGACTTGGCAGTAATCTCGCTCACTTGATATCTTATGTTAGCTAGTCAAAAGAAAAATTCCTCCAAAACTTTTAGTTTTATGTCGTCTTCGGAAGCATAAAGAAATCAGGTCATTCTTATCTGGAGAATATTCACAGGGTTGCGTCCCTCAAGTGATATCCTATAGTGGAATTATTGTAAAGGAGTGCCACCGCTACCCTTGAAAAATAATGATTTAATCAATAAATTCAAAGAAAAAACTGTATAGGTAATCTGAATTAATTTTGTTTTTTGTATGCTTTAATTTCAGAACCCATATTTTATCTTAGGGATTGTAAGAAAAAAATTAACTTGTGATTTAAAAAATTTTGGAATATGTAAAACATTTTGACGGACTTTACAGAGTTTATGTACCTCGAAAAAACTCTCAAAATAAAATGCTGTTTTTAAACACTACTAATCCTTAGCACAACAATCTTGTAAAACTCAGGACCCAAAATATTATGCAATAACTTGCATATTAGAAGGGGACATTAACTTAAAATAAAAAAGTTCATTGTTGTAGTGCAAATCAATAGCAACTAAATAAATCTGAAAGCTTGCCAACGAAAATTTGCTCTCACTTTTTATTACTTACATTAATCAAATAACAATCAACAATTTGAATATTAATTTATTTTAATTATTTGCATAAATCTCAGATTAGTTGTTGATAAAATATATACGGTTCACTTCCAATTAGGGACAAAAATAATATAAATTTCGCCACTAGAAAAGAAAATAAAATAAGAATAAGAATTAATGCTATGGGAAAATGGAATTCTAGTACCACCGACACTAGTATTACCATACCAAAATGAAGAAATATTTATAAAAGTTTGAATTAAATTGCACTTAGGTAACTTAATTTTATTGTGCCTAACTAATGTTGAGGTAATGGGAAAAGTCATAAAACCAAATTGTTAAAAGGCAATCTTAAAATAAGGATTTCCAGGGATTAGCAAAGCGCAGAAGATTATTCAGTGAATGTTTGTATTCTTAAGTATTTGATTTCCTTTCCGAAATAAAACGTAACAGCTATTTTTTTTATGGTGCAATAATTAAACGAGTTAACAACGTTATTAAAATTATATACCGTGAAGATGTGCTGTCATACGGTAATTCCATAATCGTATTGATATTATTACGAAATCATTAATATTTTTACCTGTAAAAAATTTCACTGCTGATACTGTCATTTTCTACTGGCATTGAAGAAAAAAATTCTCATAAAAGATTTATTGTATTGTAAAAGCCTTTTACTTGTTCTGGTTTTCATCATCTAGATAAGAAAAAATCGCCCTGTAACTCAGGAACGCATATGCAACAGCGAAACTTACTGAAAACTGTTCACATGTTAATGAAATTGATTTTCAACGTTACATAGTTAAACCAACAAACTTTATTATATTTCTTTGTCGAACAGCTGCAATGCTGGTGGTTCCTTGTTTTGAATGTAACATTTTATGTGCAACACGATCCTGCTTGAACTACCACCCATAGTCTGGAAACATTCCGCAGCAAGTTTTCTAGGAAGACACCAATTAATATCGCACACTGCCAGAAATAGGCTTGGCCTACGAGCCAGCAGGACACTGACTCCAGCCAGTCATGCAATCGCTTATTACATTATGCCATTGCGTAAGTGAATTTATTCAGTTTTGGAAACACGATTAACAAGTGGTCGGTTCTCTTTTAAGACAATAAATCCCCCTTGAAAAGGTTAATTTGTAATGTTATTTAATTGCGCCGCAATTAATTGCAGGTTGCACGATTTATGTTGGCGGCGTGGACAATGCATGCGATTTTTTTATGGGTATAATCTTGCTTTCTGGAGACTTTTATTATTGAAAGGTCCAAGGATGTAGAGTTTCAAAAAATATTTTTTTTTTGGGCCACCATCTTTAGGAGTGCTGATTTTGTTCTTGTCCATCTCTTCTGTTCCAGCTTCATTCCTATGCGCATGGTTTTGTCGTTATAGAGTATGGGTCTTAGCAATTTTAGGCCCTTATTCTCTTCTATGATTGATTTGATGTTTTTTCTTCACATTGTCATGGCTCAGGGTACCGTGACAGAAATCTTGGGTTCGTTTATTCCAAAATCAAAGTCCAATTAACACAACAATAATTTATTCAACGTGACTGCACACTCTGACACTAATTACTTCACTAATTTACTCAAACAACTTCAACCCTTACAAAATTCGCTATCTGAATCGTATCACAGTCAATCTTAAACTTAAAAACTACTAATACCGGCCTTTATATATCCGTAATCCATTCTTGTATAATCCAGAATAAACGCGATAATCACTTTTCCCGAATAAAGCAGCCTTTTCTGGAATTTTAGGCATGGATGCTGTATACAATGGCGAAAGCGCATCGCGACATTGCCCTCCTCCTAAGGTTGATCGTCCCGATAAACTTCACGCTCATGATATTTCGTCAATCTGTCCAGATGTACAACTTTCATCTTATATCTGATGTTGCGCTGAACTCGATAAACCAAATCCTCTTGACTATTCTGTAGGGTCCTTCCCATGACAATTTCGGCGACACTCTTTTCTTTCTTGTTGGATTATACAGCCATACTAGATCACCTTCTTGAAATCCGGCCGAATTGGCTTTCAAGTCGTATATCTGGTCTTCAATCGGTCACTGGCCAGGTGAATATGCTCCCGAGCAAAATGACGTGAAGAAGGAGTCGTGCCCTTACTTCGTCGGCATAATCTCGAATTTCTTTTTGTTCTTTTTCAGGTATTCCAAACATCAGGTCGCAAGGTAACCTGAGTTCCCTTCCAAAAACGATTCTAGCTGGACTTTCACCTGTTGACTCGTGAACAGCTGCTCTGTAAGCCATTAAAAATAGAGGCAAGTGTTTGTCCCTATCTCGCTAGTTCTTTGCGACCACTTTTGTCAGGTGTTCCTCTATGGTCTTATTAAATCGTTCTACTTTGCCATCAGATTGTGGATGTAAAGGTGTTGTCCTTGTCTTACGAATGCCCATGATCTCGCAAATTTTCTTAAAGATGGCAGATTCAAAGTTTCGTCCCTGATCTGAATGTAACTCTAGTGGCACACCATGATAATTGAAAACTTCGTCCACTAGCACCTGGACAATCGTGATAGCTTCTTGATTGAAGAAGGTAATCCATGATAACCAAGATGTATTTGTTACCACGCTCTGACTCAGGGAACGGTCCGGCAACATCTATCACTGTTCTTTCAAATGGGAGACCAGCGTTGTACTGTTTCATGGGCCCCCGAGATCTTAGTTTAGGGCCTTTACTGGTAGCACAGATGTGGCATTTTTGGCACCAGTTTTTAACATCTTCATGATAGTGAACCCAGTAAAAACGTTCTCGAATCTTGTCCAAAGTCTTGTTAACTCCAAAATGTGCCCCTGAAGTTCCGTCATGTATTTCTTTTAATACACCTTCTACTCGATTTTTTGGAATAACCAGTTGGCTCTTAGTAGATTTTCCATCGGCATTTTTCCAAATTCTTTTCAGTAAACTATTTTCTACGGCCAGAGAGTTCCACTGAGCCCACAATGCTTTGTAAATAAAACTCTTGTTCGACACTTCCCTCCATTCTGTCTACATTCATAATGTTCTTTAAGATGTAGAAATTGCCCAATGTCCTGGTCTGCTTCTTGATCTACTCTCATTTGTTTGGTAGTCCATTTATCATGAACGATCAGACCCGTTCTTCTCACAGCTGGACCAGTGTTTTTTTCATGCATAGCGATTCTTTAACAATGCTTGCAGTCTTCTTTGCATGGCCGTCTAGACAGAGCCTCAGCATTTTATGCAGGTTTCCAGGTCGATGTTTAATTTGGAAATCGTATTGCTGCAATTTCTCAATCTATCTAGCAAGCTGTCCTTCGGGAGTTTTCAATTCTAAAAGCCATTTTAGAGCCGCGTGATCTGTTCGAATTAGAAACTTACGTCCGTAGAGATACTTGTGGAAATGTTCGACTGCTTTTACTTTGGCAAACAACTGTCTTCTGGTGACACAATAATCTCGTTCCGGCTTTGATTAGGC